GAATCAAGGATGGGAAAAAAGGCAAAATATACAGAAAACAATAAATGGAAAATGATTTGTTGACAATAACACATATGTTGATGTGCTTGATTGAGCCAATATACAGTGTATTCTCAATGGAAAAATCTCATTTTGTATGCCATAATGATGTACAGTGAATGAATGTAAATAAATAAAGAAAAAAATATATAAAAAAGCAATGTAATACACTGTAAAGTTATATGTAATCCAATGTAATATAAAGAAGATTATGATGATAATAAAAAAAAGAAAAATAAATAAAATGTGTGTATGTGTATGTATATTTATTATTTTTTAAAAAAAGATGTTTTTATACATTGTAGCAGTCACATAAAAAAACTTGTTATTATCCAAAAATAACTTGATCAGCCGTATACACCATATCAAACACTTACACAGACATGCACACATACACTGAAAAACACACATGAACACAACATTAAAAAGTACAGAAGAGAAGGGAAGTGACAATGGATACAACCACCATGACATCCAAAAGCCATGGGCCAAAAGGGATCAGGTGCTAGAACTTTTACAGAAAAAGCATTAAATAGTTCCCATGCAAAGTGAACCAATTAGTTATTCAGATGGTTCCACCTTGATATTTGGGATAGTATATAGAAAAAATATTCCATTTGACTCATTTTTTCCCACTTTACAAGGAGCTGTTATTAGTACCAATCCTGAAGCAGCTTATTAACTATACTTTGAACAATAAAATTATAAAACAGAGTACATCCTGCTTATCATACTTAGGTCATTAGTGTTTAACACACATTATTTTTTCTTTAGTTCTCCTCTATAAATTTTGTTGTTTATTTCACTATTAATTTCTTACCTGATCTTCTTCTTGCATATGTTGCTCTTCAACTTTGTTCTGAAAAAGAAAAATATAAGATGACTTAAGAAGATACAACCAAAGAATAATAAATGTAGTATTAAAAAGAAGATAATAAAAACAAAGTCAAGGTAAGTTGAAGTATGTGGGTTACTTCTTTTCCTATTGGAGGCTACTATAGACACTAAAAAAAGAATACACTACAACCTACAATTTTATTTCTGTGGGAATTAAGGTTAGCTGCATTAATTAATATTATTTTAGTACAATTATTTACTTACTTGTAAATATACCTGACTGTATTTATATCCAACCAACATTTCTATATATTATAAAACATTTACATTTTGAGAAACTTTGTCAAACAGCTCTTTAGGTTAAAAAAAAAATTCCTAACCCCAAGCTTCTGGCATCTCTCCTATTTAAAATTACTGATTCTACTTCTGAAACAATATGTATGTTTTTAGTTCCTGCCCCTCATATCCACAGAAAAAATTCACCTGGGTCTGGAGACATGAACTCTTAGCAATTTCATCTCTCAGAAAAGAAACCATGATAAGAACCATTTCTCTGGTCAAAATTCTAAGAAATAATTATTTAGAAGTGATAAAAGCCTTGGGAGAGAGAGAGACCAGGTCATCTTTATTTTTAGTAAGTAGAAGTGAAAGAAGGGAATGGTAGGCATAGTCAGACACATGTCTTGGTATTAATAGAATGACATTTCTTCCAGCTGTCTAAATAGTTCAAATCCCCCATCACAATTGTAACTTACCTCAGAGTCAATATAAAAATCAACCAACTATCCAATCTGGAATTTAAATAACTATGAATGAACTGGAAGAATTTCTTACTTTCATAGGCTATGTAAATAATTAATTACCTGGAGAGATAGTAATATAATTTCCCAACTTTTTTTTTGGAGAGATTTTCACTGTAGGGCGCGTGCGCTTGCCAGACAGACAGAGAGAGACATAGAGACAGAAAGCGAGAAATCACTCCCCAGGGGGGATGGTCACGCCGCAATCCCTTCTCCTCCATTCTCCTCTCGGGATCTTGGGCACGCACACACACGCGCCCGGCGTGAGTTTTAAGCCACCAGGTCCGGGACACATAGCCATTACGCTAACTGCTGGTTCCCAATTTCCCAACTTTTTGCTTTCCATGCAATCTGCTACTGTGGGACCAGATATCTAGCCAGAGTCAGTCAGGTATTAGATTTTGGTATTAAACATCTCTAGTTCCTAATATTTAACTTTAATTTCTATTACTAGGACTAGAAAAATGATATTGTAGAAGAAATACCAAAAAGATAGGATTATTTGGATTGCATGGCTTTATAATCATTTAAGTTGTTTTGTTCTTCCTAGATTGCTTGAATGGAAAGACAGAAGATGAACTTTATTTCCAAACAAATACTGACCGTAAGGCATAACATGGATTGGGAAAGTTAACAGAGGCACCAAGATGGGGAAAATGAGTTGCTTTCGGTGAGAAGGCTTAAGTATAACAAGCTGTCAGCTTGATCAATTTCAACATAATAACATAAAGAATGGAAATACAGTAGTGAATACAGTTAATGACAATATACTGTATATGTCAGAGTAACTAAAAAAGACAATTTTGAATGTTCCCAACAATAAGAAATGGCAAATGGTTGAGATGATGGATATGATAATTACACAGATTTAATCTTTACACATTATATTCTTGTACAGACAACTCATATTGCATCCACAAATATGTACAACTGTTATATGTTAATAAAATAAGTTTAATTTAAAAAACAAAAATAGAAAAGTTTTAGAACATGCACTTAGTCATAACTATAGTATCACAAAATACATAGCAAAACTGTTTAGTTTCTATTCACAGCAATCTCAAACTATAAAACCTGTCTTTCTGATTATTACGATGCAACACAGTTATTTTCATATGTAATTATTCTCTTTTCTGCTTAACAGTCTAGTTCATTCATTTAATGCCAGTTCCCCAAATTTTGTCAATTATTATCACATTGTCTGGGGTACTCGGTAAATAAAAAATTAACTTAGAGATTTTTCTTATTAAATCTGTTTAGGACTACTGAAATCTAACACCATTGTACTGAAAGAGAAAAAAATGAAGTGCATTTTAATAAAAAAATATAAACATATGAGAAAGTTTTACATATCTCAGATGGGAAATAAAGATTTTTAAATTTTTTTATTAAATAATCTTCAAAGAAAAGTTCAGTGCAGGTAAGTTAACTTCAATGTGCTGAATCCTGAAACCAAGAAGTCAGTTACTGATCTTTCCTTCCAACTGCTGTGTAGGAAACCATCTGCTTTGTCATCATTTAAATCACATTCCCTTCTAACACAGTTACAATTTAAAGCCATTTGTTATAGCAACAGAATACTAGAGGCAACTGCATGTATTTTTAAAGAAAGCTGTGTGATAATCTCTACATTTCACAGACTTAAGAGAAGAAACAATAGCCCAGGTATCTGAAAACATTCCTTAGCTCCCTGATTTCTCTGGACTTTTATAGTATGCTTTATGAAATAGTTCCACTATAGAAGTAAAGATATACATAATGTTTTTTCTTGTACTTAATATAAGAAAATTAAGTTAAAAAGTCTAGGATTCTATTGCAAATCTCAAAATGTATGAAATATTACACAAAACTGAGCAAGAGTGGCACAAGGAAACCAACTGTTTTTCTCTTAACATTTTCTGAATTTCTCAAAGACAAGAAAATAATTCATAAAATAAACTATTAACTCAGTGCCCACCAGTCTGTATATAACTCGCCATTTTTTCTCAATAAACAGAAGACTTGATCAGCACCTTGTATTGTTTCTGCTCTGTGCGGATATGAATGTGTTTGTCCCATCTCTCACTCCCTCCCCCAGGAAACCTGTTCGACTGTCCTGCGGGTTGGGACACATGGCGCCCAGACAAGGGACCTGGGTACGAGGGATCCAGTGAAGAACACTGAAAAACTAGAAAGGCTGGTGAAAAGCAGAACATGATGGCAGAGAATCATCCTGGGACCTGGGTACAAAGGATCCAGTGAAGAGCACCTGAGAGGAAAACAGAAGGGGATGGCAGAGAATTGTCATGAGAAAGGATGGCAGAGACTCGTCCAGAAGGGGATGGCAAAGATTCGTCCAGAAGGGGATGGTAGAGACTCGTCCTGAGAAAGGCTGGTAAAAAACATAGAAGGACGAAAAGAAGACATCCTGGTAAGTAGTTATTTACGTTTCATTTCTAAGTACGGGTAATAATGGGACAAGTGCTTAGTCAGCACAAACTATCCATGCAGGGCTTAAAAGAAGCCCTTGCTATTATGGTCGCTAAGGGAGAGCAGATCATGCAAAATGATCAACCCCAGGAGGAGGCTATAGCTGCCTCAGCTCTAACCAAGGATTCTAAAATTGAAAAAGAACAGGGAGAGGATCTTATTTCCTTAGATAGTGAGAAAGAAGTAACAAATTTTATTAAACAGTTGGATGTCAGGTCAAAACAGCTTAAGAAACCAAAAATCAATGAGAAAGTTACAAACCTTGAAAAGCCACAGAAAGAGAACCAGCAGTTAGCATAGTGGCTATGTCGCTGGACTCCCACGTAGTCGACCGGTTTGCGTCCCCAAC